AGGTGAACCGGGTTGAGTACCCGGCAGAGCAGAGTGGTGGAGGGCGGGATGGGAGCCAGAGGGATGTACTGAGAGACAACACGTCCCTTCTCCTTGGTGTCCCCAAATGCCTTTTAGATCCAACTGCCTGTCTCCTCCTTTTTTCTTCTTTTTTAAAAATTCTCATTTTCCTTTCTCTACTTCTCTTTTCCTGCTTAGGCTTTTTAAAATCCCTTTCTTTGTGGCCCTCCTTTTTGACTCTGCTTCCCGAATGGCCTTCCTTTGTGCTTTCTGCACCTGAGCCGGAGGAGAGCGAAGGGTCCGAGTGGTGGGACAAAGAGCTCATCTGTTGCTAGAGGAGCCCGGTGGCCCCCAGCTGTGTCGGCTTCTCAGGCCACAGAGTCAGTGGCGCCTTCCTGCACAATGGGAGGAAAGTTGACTTTAGCAGTAATATCGATGTGCTTATTTTAGGTCCTGTCCCCTTCCCTACCTCGACCCTTGGCCTGGCTGTGACAGTGGCTGTGAGAAGCCTTCTTCACCCGTGGCATTGTGCTGTACAAGCTCTTTGAGTCCTGGCTACCGCAGTTCTAGGAATTGGGGACCTGCTAGCTGTATTAACAGGGGCAACGCTTGTGTTTTGGAAGCTAACCGTGCAGTCTGCAGAGCAAGTTTGCCGCATGCTGTCTCCTTCCCAGAGCCCCAGTCTCCCTCCCAGAGCCCCAGTCTTGGGCTCATGGTGTCTGAGGGCTGGAGGGGGGAGGGGCTTGCCTGCTGTCATAACCACCCCATCTGCTCTCCCTGCACAGAGAGAAGGGGCTCAAGATCCAGTGGGTGGACGACACCCATGCACTCGGCATCTTTCCCTGCCTGGCCTCAGGTACTGCGGCCCACGGTGGCCTCAGCCCTTTCTCTGACCATCATGGAGTGGCAGGGCCCTTGGCCCCTGGGTGGAGGGTAGCAGGGCCCCACCCACAGCTGTCCAAGCCAAAGTCTGGGGGTTGCCTAGTGGGTGCTGGCCCAGGAATCTAACGGTAATGAGTCTGGCCTTTCCCAGTGGTGTTATGTCTTCCCTGCAGAGGTTTCAGGTTCAGGTGACATTTACTGAGCACATGTCATGGTCCAAGCCCCAGGTACTGCCATGTACAAACAGAACCATATGAAAGTGCTGTTTTTACAGGTCAAAATCATTCAGGCACCACAGTGCCATCTGGCTCAGGCTACGCCCTCCCATTCACTTTTCATTGCAGCTTTAAGACATAGGTCAGGTTACTTGCACTTTACAGATGGGCAGACTGAGGGTCCCAGAACATCAGGGGTCTGTTCCAGGTCACGAAGCCTTTCAGGGTCAGAGCTGGGGATGCCGTGCAGCCTCCTGACTGTGACTCCAGTGCTCCTTGTGCCCTCTTGTCACTTTCCTGCATTGCCCTTGCCATGTCACTGTTCACTTTGGGTGTATTTATAAAACGGTACCTGCCCTCCACCTCCACCACCCCTCACCTGGCCTTCCCAGACCCATGGCCTCCTGCACACTGGAGCTGGGAGCCGCTGTTGCTGGTGGGGCCCAGGCCTCAGGGGAGCCTGAGTGTCCAGGGAGGGGGCAGTGCTTAGGGAACAGGGTGGGGTGGGGGAGCCCCAGGGAGGGATCCCGAGGAAAGGGAGGCAGGGAGGGGAGCAAGGAGGCTGCCTGGTGTCCAGGAAAGAACGAGCTCTGGCAGGGGTTGGCCGTGGCCATCTCTGGGCTCTGTCGCAAACTGTGTGGTGGGAGCAGGTTTCCTCATCTCTAAACATCGGGGGGCTGGGATCTGGAGCCCTGCGAGCTCTACCGTGCATGTCCTGTAAATAGCCCAGTACTCCATGGCCGAGCATCACTGGGACAGCGCAAGTTCCCCAGAGGGTCTTGAGCGGTGAAAGGCGGAGAGATTTTTAAGCTCTGGGGCTTTAGGAGGCAGGAGCCTGCCTCTCCTCATGTCCTAACCGCAGCCTCACTGGCGTGGCTTCGGGCATCCCATGCAGGCCTGTGAGGCTTGGGGGCATTTTGGGCAGATAGCAGCTGTCTCTTGCCCAGGGTAGTGTCAGAGCAGCTCTGCCCGAGCATTGAATGGGCGCACGAAGGGGCTGCATCAGTCTTGGGGGATGCGTGTACTCCCAGGTCTGAGGGGGCCTGGCGCAGGAGGAGGAGGGGATGACTCCAGATCTGCTTTCTCTCCATAGCTACTGACGCCCTGACCAGGGAGTTCTCAGCACTCAAGATCCGGCCCCTCCTGCAGGGAACTAAGCAGTCAAAGCTCAAAGCCTTGCAGAGGCCAAGTAAGAAGGCGGTTGTCCTGGAGGGGGAGGCTGTGCGGGTGTGCGTGAAGGTTTGGTCTGGCAGGGAGGGGTCTTTTTTTTTTTTCCTTTTTGTCTTTTTTCGTGTCCGGCAATGGATCGC